TTTGAATTCGGTTGGTTTACCTGATGATTCAAAAATAGACCTGATTGTTGACAACTGTTCGGCGCATACTTCACTTCAGTTTTAGTGAAAGATAATGTATTCGTATTATTCTTCCCTCTAAATTGTACGTCTATCATTCAGCCTATGGATATGGGAATAGTGCATGCGCTGAAATGCAAATATAAAGTAAATAATATCGCTTCTGATAGTGAAGAAAGTGACACAGAGATTATTAAAAACGAAAAAATTTCGATTGACAAATTAGTCGGTATTCTTGATACAGCAATTACAGGACTTGAACAGTGGAATTTTGTAACTGAACAAGAAAATACGCCTGTTTATAGAATCTGAAAAAAAAAAAAAAAAAAAAAAAAAAAAAAAAAAAAAAAAAAATTTCTAGAAAATCGCCAAATTATAACTGTTACATTCAAAAAAGCTTTCAATGAGAAATATGTTTAAACTTTGATAATAAGCTCACTCTAAAGTAAATAAAATTGTTTAACATTAACTCTTTTAATATTACAAACTATATAGGAAGAAAATAAAATTCAACTGTTTTTTAATTAAAAAGTTAACAGTTTTAATAATGAAACATAATTATATTTAATCTCAGCCATATTACCTTAAAAATAGCATGTGAGAAACTTCACAATGATATTTTTCATTTTCACATTATTATTCACATATTAAATAAGTAAATAAATAATAAAATGCAATTTCGGATTTATCATCGAAATATATATGTGTGTGGCTTATATCTAAGTGGGCTTTTATCAATGTGCGCTTTCATCATAGTGGGCTTTCGTCTGGAAATCCATTTGCATATATGTTGAACATTTGATGTGAAATTAAACTCCCTTGAGGAACCCTAGCATATATAGAGCGGGGGGTTTCATGGCTAACTCGCACTCGAAAGGATCTACCTGTCGAGTATGAGTTAAGAGTATTTAGTAAGTTGCATCGAAAAACCAAGCTGCATGAACTTGTAGATAAGCCCGTTGTGCCAAGTCCTGTCAAAGGCCTTGGCAATGTCAAGACAGACAATTCCGGTTTTCTCTTGTTTATGAAAGTCCTCATGAATGGATTCAACTATACGGTGTAACTGGTCTACCATGGAGTGTTCAGGCTGGAAGCCAATTTGTTCTGGGTTTAATAAATTTCGATCATGGCAGAATTCATTCAGGTATTCAGATAATTTAAGTAAAACAATTTCATAAATTTTTTAGAGAGACGCTAATCTGTCCTAATCTCGTTTTATAGTCTGCGAAATTGAACACGGATGTTGAGATCACATGTTCTCTGCCAAAGTTTTCGCAGGTAACACTGCTTAATTTTGGATTTAGTCTCAGGCAGGAAGGAGCCTAGTGCCCAGATGAGTGATAGATGTTGAAGCTGCAGCTCTCGCTTCTTTAAGTAGACTCCAAATTTTTTATAAATCTGTCAAGGTCTGCTGGAAATTCTGATTGGGGGGGGGATAACTGTATGTTCCAAAGTAAATTGAAAATCGTCCCAATTTGTTGAGACTTGCTCCACTAATTTTGAATATCTAGGGTGATCAGAATCTAACTCTTGAATCACTTTAATTCCATGCCAAAAGTAAACATTATAAAAAGCAGCCAGATCAAAAACTGTGAGGAGACCCTCTAGCAGGGTGGTAAATCAGGGCAGTAGGAGCTATAATCTATACATGGTAGCTCTGAGCCCATGAATTTAGTTTTATGCCAAACTTGTTCCTATTAGGACAAAACCATGCGGTATAGTGTGAATTTAGATCATCAACAATGATTAAGTGATTTGAAATTGTTAAAAGTTTATCAAAATCACTGACAGGTGACCCTTGTACAGCTCCTGTGGGGAAAGGTATGCTGAAACAATAGTAAGAAGGGAGAATTTTGTATAGAAATTTTGAAAATTGTCACTTCCAAATCTTGGGGAGGTATCATGTGATGCTTAATTGAATGTTTCACGTAGATACAGGTGCCACCACTTGCATATCTGCCATATGACGCTGTGTCAGTTGAGTATATGTCATACTTCCCAATTCTGGGAGTTCACCCTGGTTTCATGTTGGTCTCTTGGACCAAAAGTATATCAAGATTGTGCTCTGCAATGAAAGCTCTCACTTTGTGGATTTCATTCATTAGCGTTCCATGTGCACTAAAAGTGAGTTTTTGTTGTTATATGTGGGATCTTTGTTCCTGTACAGAATTGAATTTTAGGCCATGTGCATTCCTGAAAATGACTTCCGGAATGCGCACAGTTTTGCGATCTCGCATTTTCTAATCGCTAATTTGTGGTTTTCATAGATTAATTGCACAGATGGCATACTCGAATTTAATTGCCTTTAAAGACTAATTTTGTTTAGGTCAATGGTAAGGGTATTGTATAACAAACGACAACCTGTGTAATAACGTTAGATTCTGACTCTTATTTCTTTTAACAATATTGCATTACATTTCTCCCCTGGTTTTTTAACTATTTTTTTCGCAAGAAAAAAATTCCTCCCTTAATGACCTCCTTTACATGATCACCAGGTTTGATTGGTCCAAAAGTTTTCCTTTTATGATCGGTTGAAAGAGGAACTTTAATTATAACCACCCTGTATAATAATTATTAATACAAATTATTTAGAATTAATATAAACTGCTGTAAAATTTTTTCAGTGCCTTTTTAATGGATATTTTCTAGATTTTTTTTAAAGCTTATATTGTTACCATGTAAATAAATCTATTATGATGTAATTTAATTATTTGTAACTAGCATTTCTAAGTTGGACGTTAAGCTGCAACACAAAAGTGTAAAATTTAACATTTGATTATTTACAACTAATGAGACTTAAAATAATATAAAACAGCCTGGTGTTTCAGTTCCTTACTGGAATTTTATATTAAATGGATTATAACTCTAGCAAATATACACAAAACTACGGCACTAACTGAGTCAACTAACTTGAGACTTACCATATAATGTCAGGCATTCATATCTGTTCTGATCAGTGGCTCAAGCAACAATGGAGGCAACAGCAAAGCTTCTGTTTGAGTCATGCTGATTAATATTTTACTTCTTAATTTAACTTATGCCAGAGATAAAAACTGCATAAACATTTGAGTGAGTGCATGATAAAATGTGGCATAAAAGAAAGAATCAGTAAAAAGCCAACTATGAATAAAATTTAAATAAAAAGTCTTTTTTTTTTAAATATGTGGGATGTTATAAATGTAAAATATAAATATTTCAAGAAATTTTACTAATTATTTGAAAAAAGTTTTTATTTTTTTCTTGAATTTATTGAATTATAAGATATAAAAAATACTTAATTCCCACATGCAGAAGTATGCATGAACCTCAAAAAAGAATAAAAGCAGAGATATTATACCTTTGTTTAGTAAGGAAAGTATTCAGTAATTAAAATAATGACAAATATTCAAGTCCGAAAAATCAATAACCTGTGTTAACGTGATGGGTGGCGAAAGAATTTAAATAATGTTACATGGAATAATGATATAATAAACACATACTTAATATAAAAATATCACGTAAGATCAAAACACCAATAAAAGCCGAGATACTGAATGACGGAACGGTGGTGTGTTAATTAAACCACTGGAGATTCAACAGTGATATTGAGATAAATATGCAGGCGAGAGGTTGAAGATTCTCTTATTATTTATTCCTCATACCATTACAATTTCTACATACCTCCTAATCTAACTAGCTTTTTTAAGAGTAAAGTAATTTTTTTATGCATTAAATCTTTTTCATAATACTAAAAATCGTCTTAGCGTTTCTTTAGTTACTCTGCAAAAAAGTACTAATTTAGGCATAGAAACAAACACTTAAAAAATGGGAGATACCGATATCTTTGAATTGACACATACCCTGAATGAAAAAAGAATGCAAATTTAATAAAGTAGTAACTAACACAATCGAGTTTTATATATCAGTAAACTATGCTCCCTATTGTTTAAGATCTGCCAGAAACAAAAAAATGTATCAGCAATATTTGAATACTTACATACAGTCAAAAGTCTTTAATCCAGACTTGTCGGGACTTTGGTTTAAATCTGGTAAGATGGCATGCAGAAATTATAAAATAAAAAATATGGAACCGTAATTTATGAAATAAAGAGCAATTATGATCTAAAGGGTATCAAAATGTACCAAAAAAAACCCTTAATATTTATTTGTTTACTTTATTAAACATTTCTTTCAACACCACATGCGTAAGGCATACATCACGCATAGTCGAAATTAGAAAATTGCAACCAGAAAACTATTTGATGTGTATTTGTGATATTTTATAATGACGAGGAATTTTATTTAAATCATATCAAAGATGGAGTACATCGAGATGAAATAACATTTAGTAAGGAATTATAAGCCGAATAAAATAAAAACATCCTGAAGATGAGGATAGTGCTGACAGATCAACCAGTTCATTACGTGCCGCAACATCCCCCGCAGAGCAGCATGAAATTGATAAACAGATTTCAGAATAGTTAGAGAAACAAAGGACATGCCTTTATCCATTTTTTGCAGCAATTCCTCTTTTTGTTTGATGAACATCGAAACATGCTTTCGCTTTGTAGATCCTTTGGCAGCTCCAGAATCGGAAATTCTTTTTGACATAATCGAAAGTTCAAGCTTACTTTTATAAAATTGCTCTAACAGTCTGCAAAAAATAATAAGCCGGATCCAATTAGAAGATTAAGGGAACAACACAATCTGCAACATTAACGGAAATAAATAATTATAGCTTAGCTTATACCGTCCGTTATACATTAAACGCATGCGTTTTTGTATCTTTGAGGTCCGGATTACAGATCATTTCGAATTAAAGACTTTTGACTCTATATGATAACACTTGATATACTGGTGATGTATCATTATTTGAATAATTTTAAATATATAAATCATTTTCAGTTTCTGATATTCAGATGGACTTGAAAATCATTTTTGATGTCATAGAATTATACTAAATAACACAGCACACCATCTCCTGACTTTGACTCTATTCCTATTTGTTTTGTTTTATTTAGAAATGCAAAAGAAAGAGAAGATGGGGGAGGGGAGAAAAGAGGAAATCCTTTTTCTGTATGCATAAAAGTTGCAATTATATAAATATAAAACAAAATTGCACATAGTTAATTAGTGAAAATACAAATAAAAGCACAAAACACATTTTATGATATACTATTTTCATTACATTTTTGTCTCTGATGAAAAAACACTGCAACTTCATTTCACACCAATTCAACAGTGTTGATAAAAACAGCAACAGCACAATAATATAAATGTGCATTTTTATTAGGTGAATAAATCCCAACAACTTGAATTAAAATGTCATGTTCTTTTTCCAAGGGCTTTTTTTGTAAGAGTTGCTTTAGCTTTTTCAGCTTCTTGCTTTGCTGTAAAGAAAAAATAAATTACAAAAATGCAAAACAAATTTTAATACCCGGAATCATCAGTACTCCGATGATTCCAGATTTTAGATTATCAGTTTAAATTTAGTTAAGATGACAAGGGGGATATACTTTTTATTTATGCTCAATATTTATTTGTTTCCTTTATTAAACATTTATTTCACTGTAAACTGTTTTAAGCTGCTTTTTTTTTTTTTTTGTGTGTGTGTGTGTGTGTGCTAATTTAATGTTTACATTATGTCACAAACTGTTAAGGTAAAAATTGAAGGACCGAAGAGAAATACATTGACAACATGTTACACAATTATGAATAATGTATCTCGCATCTTACCAAATTATGGAATATGTATAGTTGCTAATAAAATAATTTAAAGCTAGGCACGATTTTTAACTATTTATTAGTTTTCAAGTTAACTATGTGAGTTTTTTTTCCCTTGAGGGGTACTTAAGAACTTCAGTAAGCTGACAATTTCCGACCGCACTCCCGCCAATCTGAATTATAACGTATTTCTCCCGACTTCCTCTTACTAAAAATTTTTATGTAGCTTTATTATCTGCATCCAAAACAGTGATTTTTGGCATCGAAAAGGGCTTTTTTCCCTCTAAATTATATAAAAAAGATTTAATTTAGTGAGATATTATGGCGCATTTCCATTTTACACGATATAAATTTTACATAAAAGAGTACACATGGGCTCTCACATTTTCTCTAAATTATATAAAAACCATTTAATTTAGTGAGATGATATGGCACACTTCTGCTTCATATGTGAGAGCAAACGTGACAGTATGTCCCAAAACATCACGTTCCAGTTCTCTGTCTTGTTATTTTGTTTACTTCAGTTAAGTCTACAGAAAAGGTTAAATACACATGCACTTTCAAAATTCGTACAGATGACCTTTCTTCCAGTCACAGAAATGTAACACATTTGTGATGTGTACTATTTGTTTACACATAAAACTAGGATCAAAGTTAGTCGCACAAGGAGGAAGAAAAATTAAATTTTCCTGCTGGAACAAAACCTTTTTACTGAATCCACCGAATGCATCGGACCATACTGCAGCTTTATTTAGAAAAATGTTTCCAGGTACTGAAATCGCTAAGAAATGTTCAAGTGCAAGGACAAAAATGAGTACGAAAAATAAATCTTCAGTTATTGATTATATTAAAACAGCTCCATTTTGCCTCTACAGATAATGTCAAGGCAAAACTATCCAGTTGTTTCTTCCAGTCTTCAGAAATCGAATGTAGATAACTGTTCGTCTCCACTTGAGAAGGAGATTCGACATGCTTTAATACAGCAATATTAAAATTGGCAATTCTTCTCGATAACTGCTTAGCACTTTGTGTCGACAGTGCACCAGTAATAGTAGACTGGCTTAAAGACTGATGTTTGAGGCATCTAAAAAAAAAAAAAAAAAAAAAAAAAAAAAAAAAAAAAAAAATTCAGATTTGCAAATCATGATGTGTACCTGTCACCTCTTAAATTTCGCAGCTGAAAAAGGGGCTTAAGTGTGGGTAAATGCATTGCTGGTATTTATTACCATTTTGAAAAAGAGTTCGGAAACGAAGAAACAATTCCAACAGCTGCATAAAACTGAACTAAGAAAAATTTTGAAACATGTAACATCTTTAGAGCATGATTGTCTTTACAGAAATATTTATTTAGAATCTTCAACCAATGTAACCCATTCTTTGCATTTTCTAAGGAAGAAGTAACTTCTAAAATGTTGAAAGTTATAAAAAACATACTTACATAAAACTAGGATAAAGTTATAAGAGCAGCAAGGATTGATACCCAAAGAGTTTAATTGGAAAACCACACTTGGTAGTATTAGTTCCTGTATATGGTTTTAGATTATTAAAGAAAAATCATTTGCTTGATTTTTTAGTTTATTGTGCAATCATAAAGATTCCCATCTCCTTTTTCTGTGCACTTGTATTAAAAAACTATTGCAATCAGACATGGGAAAAAATACATCACGAATTCAGTGCCCCTATTTTGTAAACACCAAGTTGGATCACTACGTTCATGTTTACTTCTCACATACACTTTTGGGTTGTCACGTTCACAACTGTTTTTAATATAGCATCAAAAGCATGTTCTCATCCCAAGGATAATAAAATGTATTTCATTGAATTTTATTCAGCCAATTAAAAAAATATCACAGTTTTTTAGGACTTTCTTTATAAACTTTCTATATAACTTTTCTTTATAAAAATAAGCAGCTGTTGCCGGATGACAAAATGAAATTTATGGTTAATTTTTCAATTCTTTTGCTTCATATGTTCACCAACAGTTCTCAGCTGTGTCGCTTATACATAGTAGACAAGTGTTTTACTGTACGTGTGTCTTTAATTGGAACATGAGCAAAAAAGTATTCAGTTTATTCATAATCAGCTAATGTCCAATATTGTGGAAACTCACTGTTGGCTTTGTTTGATCCCCATATAAACAGATACCCACCACTTTCCACCTATTCATTTTGTTTGTGGAATAAGATCTATACACTACACCCCTTCTAGTCACAATAGTTATATTTTTGCAACAATCGCATAATTTGGAAAATATATATATATATATATATATATTAACATATGGAATATACAGAAGTGTGACAAGATAATCATGAACTGCTCATATTTATCTCGAGAAAAATAAAGTACATGGTTTCATTGAAACTCTTCTCATGAGCTAACTATAAAGGATCATTGTTAGGATTGCCCCCCATTTGAAGATGGTTCGTGCTGGCAATTTATCAATAATTTTGGCACCATTTATAAAACAAGGAGCCATAATAATAAAAAAAGTACTAAGTTTTTGATTATTTATTTCACGATTGGGTTTATCTGGTTATGATATAACAATTGGGTTAATCTGGTTGTCTGGGGGAAGGGGATGCCTTTGTGGAGGATATTCTAAGAGAAAAATGGCTTCAACAAGGTTTACTTATTTTGGTAACAAATAATCACATTAATTATTAAAAAAGTAAAATTCTTGTTAATTTATTTGAAGAAATTATCTTCCATCAAGATAATATTTTGCAGTTATTCACTCTGAATCATAATAAGAGGTTCCTACAGACATGAAGTTCAGCTGCCCTGATCTAGTGCACATTTCACAGTTAATTTTTTTTCATTATCATTATGATTGACATAGAATAGGTGATTTTTTTTTTTCCCAACCATTACATTCTTTCCCCAACCATTCTTTTATTATATACACATTACATCTACAAAGTTTGTACAAAACTAAAGCTGAAAGAAACAAATAGAATAATTTTGGATATATAGAAGGCAAACATCCTGTGTATTATTTTTTATAACGAGTACAGCATACCACTTTAGAGATGTTATTTATTTTTAATGCATCAATATTAGTTTAAATTTTGAAAACATATTTAAAAAAAATTTCTACCTTTAATTTCTTCTTCTCTCCGTTTTGCAGCTTCTTCTCGCTGTTTTTTTATTATTGCTAACCTTGCAAGGTCAGCTTTTGCTTCATTAGTCTTTCCAGCTGCATGCATCTTCTGATAATGCATTTTAGCTCTCTGCTTTTCTAATTCTTCTCTAAACATCAAATGCATGATTTTATATTCATTTCAAAAATGTTAAAATAAAATTATAATGTCAAAATAAATTAAAATTTTTAAATGTATCGTTCACCTTGAAGAGTGTTCTTGGTAATCAGAAAACTACATGACTGATTTCAGCCATTACTGATCAATAATTACAGTGCATTAGAAAATACATAAAGGATGGGGGGGGGAATTGTTTCTGTACGATATAAAAATGGAAAATTTATAGCAGCATTTCTCAGTCTCCTCTCCCAATTCATAAAATACTGCTTTGCAAATATACAAAACATACAGCCTGCTTTGCTAATGATAGACACAGTTTCAATAATATTACTAAATAAAAAAATTAACCACCAACAACATAAATCTATTTTCATATACTATCCCCCTAATCAATCAAACAAAAGATCAAATGCATAACTTCAAATCCATTAAAAATTATATCCTTTCATGAAAATATAAAAATAACATCCTTTTCACAGGAGGTGGGACATATCTCTCATGCTACTTTACACCTACTGAAGGCTCAGGATACCTTTACATCTGTCATGATGATGGAATCTGCAACTTAGGAGTAGGGAGTGTATCTGTTGTTTGAAACTTCATAAGTTTGTGAATTTGATTTTTTTCTATGGAACATTTTATTGAAGGAAAGAAATAATGCATCTGTTCTGGCATATTTGTCTTTTAAGGTCTTTTAGTCCCCCTCCAGGACTATTGCAAATATAGTTACAAATTCTTTCAGCATATTTTCAGATTCAGTATGAAATGATGGTGAAACATTAGAGAAATTTAACAAAAAACGAAATTTTGCATATCATCAAGAAAAGAAGACTGATTGCTGAAGTCTCTATATCAATTTAATTAATCAAAATTCTCAAACGTATGATAAGTATAATACCAGCATCTTTCAAATCATTTATTTCATTGGCCAGTAAAATATAATTTGTAGACAGTGCATTGTATGTAGCAAAAATAACAATTATTTATGCATAAACATTGCATAAATATAGAACTATTTTTAAATTTGATTATAATAACGCACCATACCACACTGCAAGGCCTACTATAACTCCTGAGAAGCATTTTATTTACAATTCAAGTGTATTCCAAGGTCTTAGTTTTCTCTGTTAAATAATGCAACTCATAGTATCTCAAATGTGTTTTATCATGTTCAGATCTGGGGAATTTGTAGAAATGGTAAAGCTTGAAACTGGTAAAAATACTTATGCAAATGTAACCAAAATTTGGCATTACAATATTTGCATGGAGATTTATTGACCTGCTAGGATAAGTCCTACCCATCAGTATGAAATGAACGGGTATATACCAGGAATCCAGGGGTGATTTCCAACTAAATACAGTCTTATATACTACGCGGAACAGTTTTATTGCTTAGAAAGCTGGATGCATGATTCCATAGGGTTCCTATTACAACTAATGCTGGCAGTCACTGGACGGGAACAATTAATTAAAATTAACGAAAGATAATATTTTTGGTAAAATTTTAACATTATTTAAATATTTTACAAAATCACATTCACTGAACCCTATCAAATTAAATCACTAAATATGAACCCTTCCATCTACCAGATGGAGTTGGAAATGTGACTTGTTTGTGACTGTGCTCCTTCTTCCATCCACCAGTATGAATGTTGTCATCCTCAAGTAACATACACAACTCCTATATTGTTTAGCTATTGAAAGGATTTGGGCTGGCTATCAGCTTTTGATTTCCATATCCTGCAGGGTACGTTGCACAGTCCAAAGGCTGATGTTTCTTGAGTCTCCTGCTCTGATACCCATATCTACCAATCATGTGAAAGAATTCTTGACAGCTGGATAATTTACTTGCAAAGTTTTGCTTTCTTACATGCGCACCTGTGTTGTAAGTTATGAGATTTTTGCTGAAATGTTTGTACTCACGGTGCACCCTTAAAATGATAAGTTGTGGAAACCCAAACTTCATTTCTACTTTCAAAATATGCTATTGCTCACTGCATGAGTGCCAACTATGACATTACACTGAAGATTGCTTAATCATTGTTGTCCTTTTTATGCCTTAAACAGCAAAGCTGTTTAATTAAATCTTATTCCATATTTCAGCTACACACCCAACAGTAACTGTTTAACTAATTAAGGGTTGTTTAATTATTCTTAATAGCCAATTTGCTCAGTTAGATATTTAATATAAAGTTTTAAATTCTGTTCATTATTTCTTTAAATTTAATTTTGATAGTCTCCTTTAATTGTAAACACTAACACCTTAGAAATTAAGATTTAAATTTGAAAGAGAGAGGCATTTTAAGTACATTTTTTACTGTTATTTCAAATTAAAAATACAATTAAATTAATTAATCAAGCTAAAATTTATACAAACTGTGCATAAAAATTTTTACTCTTCAGGTGAGCTTGAAATTTTAAAGTTATTTAAATGAGGAATCAATTACATTTTAAGTATATTTTATTTATATTGCCAATGGTTTGTTTGAAAATCACTCTTCGATGCAGGTTTAATATAAGGCATGTGATTTATTTGAAATCATTTCCCACTTCCATTGGAAAAAAAGTAGCAAAGGAAAATAAGCTTGGCAAAGATATTAAAGGTGTTGAATTTTAACCCTTTCAAGATAATTATAAGAGCAATATGAAAATTTCCCTGCATTTATGCTAAGATCTAAATAGTTTCTCTGAAATCCTCTACAATATTAATTATTGACAAAATGAGGGAATGACATAGTACTATTAAAATTATCACTCATCAGAGATTTATACTCATCACTTCCATCAAAATACATATCTGGCAACTTCTTTTGTTATATTTATTACATAATATTTTCTTCTCATATCACTCTGATGCAAGCATTTTGTCAATAATTCTAGAATCTAATACCCAAAATGATCTTAGAGAACGTCTTATTGATTTTTTATAGGAAATAAATTTGTAAAAGCTGAAAAATGTGCATTAAGATGTAAATGATTCAGTATTTAAAGCCATTTTTAACTTTTTGAAGGGCACCAGTATATAATACACTGGTGTGCAAAAATTAAGGACGAAGTCGAAAAATTAGTATATCAGCTGAACGAAGAGGCAGAGCAGACAGAAAGACCAATCAGGAGAGTAAGTAAGGTGATGTACGGTAGCACATGCGCAGATTAGCAGGTAGACGTAATGGGGGAGTGTCTAAGTAGTATAAAGCATGTTGTCGGTGTAAGATCAGTATTTCTGGCAAAGAGATTGCACGCCGTATAGCAGTTAAAATCACACCGAGTTGCTGCCTCAGCGAGAAATGGCGAATAATCAATCTGTTAGACGACATCTGGATGCTTTTACCCGAGGTCGAAATCATTGGGAAGTTGGAGGAAGGCCGCAGTGTGACAAGTGTGGCTGCAGAGTTCGGAATTGCTCACAGCATCGTTTCACGACTTTGGAGACAATTTCAAACAACAGGAACAGCTATCCGGGGTTTAGTAGTGGTCGTCCACGAGGAACCACACCCGCAGATGACCGGTATATTGCCTTACAGGCCAGAAGAAACAGGCGGCAGACAGCGGGAGAAATCGCTAGACACTCGACACATGCGACTGGACGACCGATATCGCATTTTACTGTGGCCAGAAGACTGCACGGTGGTGGTCTGTTTGCACGACGCCCTGTACGGTGTGTACCTCTAACGCCTGCCCATCGGAGAAGGCGTTCTCTGTGGTGCCGGGAACACCGGAATTGGAGAGACAATGAATGGGGACGAGTACTCTTTACAGATGAGAGCAGATTCAGTCTGAGTAGCGATTCTCATCGCATATTCATCTGGAGAGAGCGGGGAAGCCGCAATCATCCCTCGAACATCATTGAAAGGGACAGGTATGGAGGTGGCGGTGTTCTCGTTTGGGGAGGCATCATGCTTGGTAGTCGTACAGACCTTCACATCTTCGACGCAGGTTCAGTCAACGGGACCCGTTATTGTAACGAGATTCTTCTTCCATATGTGTGTCTTTTTAGAGGCGCTATTGGGTTCGCAGTTCCTTTTAATGGACAACAATGCACCATGTCATTGCACAGTAGCTGCCGAACAGCTCTTAGAGAGTGAGGATATTGAACGTATGGATTGGCCGGCACGATCTCCGGATCTCAATCCCATCGAGCATGTATGGGATTTTCTAGGCAGACGCTTGGCAGCTCGTACCTTACCACAAGTAACGATTCCGGAGCTTCGATTGGCGCTGCAAGACGAATGGGCAGCAATGCCTCAACAACTCATTGACACCCTCATTCTCAGCATGGGCAGATGCTGTGAAACCTGCCTAGCAGTCAGGGGAGATCATATCCCCTATTAAAGACTGGATGTTTCTTGCTGGACACCCATCACAGGGATATTTCGGCCTTCAGTCGCATTGCACTCCATGCTACTTTTTCAATAAAGCTTCTTTTTATCCCTCTGATTTCTCTTTTAGTAAGTGTTGCTTATATTACTCATGTCCTTACGTACTGGGGATCTTGCGGTATTAAATGTGTTGATTTGAAAAGCTTTTGTACAAAGTTATATTGAAAAAACCGTCTCGTCCTTAATTTTTCCACACCAGTGTATATACCGGATGTTTGTCAATTTTTTAACCTCCTAAAAATAGCTAATTTTTCTATACCAAAAGCTGTAATCATAAGTTTCTACTATTTTTTCTTTTGATTCTAAATGGCAGCACTACCTTATGAATGCTCAATATTTTGCAATTATGAAATTAATATACCTCTTTCAAAGGTATGTTTGAATATTCATAAATTCCATTAGAAGGTAGGAAAAAATTCACAATCCTTAAATATATTACGCGCACATGCTGAACCTTTAATATTTACTGCATTTCAATCAAAACTGATAATCAAAAGAAGAATATGTGTACGTTTTTAACCCTTTCAGGACAGGCGCCCCATATACGCATTCCCTAAGAACGTCTCTTAGAGCCGGGCGTCCCATCCACGCATCGCCAGAGACTGCATTC